CAGGAGCCCGAATCTTTTTAATAACATCAAAATCAGAGTTGAAATATATTTATTTATGAAATGGTGTTGAATGACAAACTTTATATCTTATATAAAAATACATAAGAAATAAAGAAATATTTACAGTGATTAATTACTGACCTTACATTAATTACAATAAAACAAATAATACTATAAATTATCATTATTATTATATTATTAACTATTTTTTTACTATACAATAGGTCCTCATTGTTAATAAAAAAGTACTAAAAATTTATGATGATAATTCAATTTTTTGGGCCCTTGATACTTGTGGGCCCAGGGCTTAAGCCCTATTAGTCCCTACATAGATCTGCCCATAGTTCTATATAGCAATTTTGTGATTACTCCTATAGTAAATTTAGGTTTTTATCTTCTGTAACAATTCTTTCACTAAAAGAGTTTCCTTCAGCATAGTAACAACTAAGAGTTTCAATTCCATTCTTTCTTTGTTGAAATTATTGACTTCATCAAAGTTAACTTAAACAAGTGCATTTTTTTAGCCTGTTCTGCATTCAAATCTGTAAAATGTTCAATTCAAAAATGAGAAAGATCTTAGAAAACATTTAATTTGAAATTAATAAGTTGATTCTTTTATTTAATACACCAATTGTTTAAATTAGTCATTCTTTCATTTTTATGTTTGCCATTCAGCATTTTTGGAATTCCACTGATAAGAAACTTTGTGAATTCCTAAATCTGTGATGATTTCAAGAACAATAATCTTTAGAGTATCCTATCTGTTTAGCAATTTCAGGAACCTTCAGTTTGATCTACCCAAGGAAAATATCCTTCAGCAACATAATTTTCATCCATGTGCAAGACCTTTAATCTCCCTCTATCTAGACCTTTCATATCAGTTGACCCTTGTATACATAACAACTGATCATTCTAGACATCAACCTTCTTTTTTTTTATTTGATAAAAATCACAATGTATAATAAAATCGAAAATAATAATATTTTTTACTGCATCTTAATGGAAGAAAGTTATCTAGTTTTTAGAAGCAATAAATTTTTTTGTTTTAGTAACTACAGTAGAGCGTCGTTTATCCAAAATTTGGTTATCCGAAACATCGGTTATTCGAAAGAATTCCAGTCGGCAAATTTAAATTTTCACTAGTGCTGTGGTGCTGCAATCTTTGACTATATCTTGGGCTACTCAAATATTTTACGTTTTTGAAACTAAATTAACCTCTAAAGTATAATTTTTTATTGTTTTTATATTTTTCAATATATTAATATTTGTTTGTACAAAATAAAAAAGTAATTTTTAACGATACAATAGTCTTCATTAGGCTTAACATCGACGAAAATTCAACTCAAAGCGACATGCAACAGAGAAAAATTTCAACACGGGATAGGTTAATGTATTTTTTCGTACATGATCAGTTATATGAAAAATAAGTTATCCGAACAACCCCAGTCCCCAATTGATTCAGATAAACGACGCTCTACTGTAATAAATTTTCAATAGATATTTTTGCTTCTTAATATTGCTTTAATTCCATTGACAAATTCCATTTTTCTAATTGACAAGAATTTCATTAACATAATTCTCTATTTTATTTTATTTAAACTATAGTATTATTGTTTTCTTAATTTGTGTTTTGTGTCTGAAGCAATAAATATTTTGATATACAGTTGAACCTGTATATCTTGAATCTCATGGAATGAGAAAAAATTTGAGCTAAATTAGTTTTGTAATATAGAGGTTCCTGTACAGTAAACAGTAATAGGTTAATGGGTTTGATTGGAAGTACTGTATTTTATTAATACAATAGCAAATGCAGTACATATCTGTATTAGGTATACACATCTGTATTTTTGATATACCTTAACAGCTAGTTTGTGGTGTCTGACTTACTTCAACCATTAAGATGCAAGCCAAACTCATAGTCAATCAGAGAAAAGCAGAGTTAATTGAAACTATGTACAGGTATACCTCAACTTATGTCGTTTCGAGTTACGTCGTTCCCGATTATACGTCATTTGTCAAAAAAGTGTATGGAAAAATAAAAATCAAGTTTAAATCATTTTATTTGACTTTACGTCTGTCCGCCACAAATATTGAAGTTGTAATATCACTAGAAAAGCATTTGAAGCACATAAAATCATATTAAAAATATATACATTTACAAGTATGTACTCTATTTACAGTACATGCATTCGTAAATTTAGATCACTTTTTTCTGTACTATATTAAAAACTAAAATTTATTTGTTTGTAAGCTTAAAATAAATCCTTATTAACCATATATTATTAAAAATGCATTAATAAATAAAATACAGAACCGGGAATGGTAATTTATGGTTTAGCCTAGTGACAAGTAGATTCGGAGACAAGTAAATTCGACTTACGTCG